CCCCCTACCTAGCCCTGCATCTTACTATCTATCTGTGAAACCTAAGTGGTGCATTAATGATAAACCTTTACAGTTTACCTTTTGGTCAAACAGCTCACTATGTTAAGTGCATAATAGACAGAACAAAGTCATTATGTAATAATGGAGCTTATTATCCCCCCAGAGAAATCGTGTTCTCCGCACCGCACAAGATGCCTCCGAGCCTCTTACTACAATGCTCTTTCAGTATCAGCGGAGTGTGGGATACGGTACACTTCATGAAACATTTAAAACGCAGCCCTAAGAATAGAGAAGTGATCACATCATAGCCCATAAATAGAACAAATGACACGCAGCTATTATCATCTGAATGAGCATGTGTGGGATCAAAGGAGAAATGAAAAGGGGGGTTTTATATTCCTTAAATAATAAATGAACCTTTTTTAAGAAAATAATTACAAAAAATAAAAATGGTTGTTTTGCTTCTTCTCCCTGACTGATCCGAGTCCTGCAAAGCGTTTCTCCATTTCTCTGCAGCAACTGCTTTCCGTGAAGTGTCTGAAAAGCATGCATTACATGGACGGTGTTGAGGGAAGAAAAGCAGAGAAGCTACATTGTTTTCCTTGTGCATACACTGGAAGTCAGCCTCAATCTGAGGTTTCCCACTCATCGATATTCATATTTAGTAGTATCAATAAATATTAGAGATTTATGCCAGTGTAGGGAAAAACAACGGGTTCACACAAAGCCCAACATATAGTCTAATTTTTTTTATGTTCCCCTTGAATGTGTATTTTTTTCTTTTAAAGGAGAACTATGGGGTTAAGTCTTTTCCCCATAGTTCTCCTTAGGGTAACGGGAGGACACAAACTAGCGTCCTCCCGTCACCCTAGGCTCAGTACAGGTGAAACTCGAATAATTAGAATATCGTGCAAAAGTAATTGCAGTAAGTGCTGCAAAAGGGGCCCAAACCAAGTACTGAGTACATATGCATGCTTGTACTTTTCAGAGGTCCGATATTGTTCTATGTACAATCCTTGTTTTATTGATTGCATGTAATAATCTACTTTTTTGAGGTTGTGGATTTGGGGTTCTTGGGGTTGTCATGAGCTGTAAGCCATAATCATCACAATTATGACAAATCACGGCTTGAACTATCTTGCTTTGCATGTAATGAGTATCTCATATATTAGTTTCACCTTTTAAGTTGCATTAGTGAAATAAATGAACTTTGCACGATATTCTAATTGTTCGAGTTTCACCTGTATACCGTGAGCTGCTAACCTTAAATTCTAAAGCTGTCCCCCGCAGTACCTCTTCTGCACCACAAGATGTCCTCAGCCTTTGAGGATGAATGAATGCTCAATAGACAGGACGTCATGGCCCCGCCCCCTGATAATGGCATC